ACTGCTTAGCTTCAGGAATAGAGCTTCTTTCAAGAAATCCCCGCTCCCGTTTATTCCATTGCTAGCTCTCGTTTTATTGCTGGATGGGAGACCACCAGGAAATCCCAGGGAATGTCAGTTTGACGGGGCAACGTGTCCCCCCCCCCAAAAAAAGGCAATAGGGGAAAAAAATCACTTGCCACTGTTGCCAGTAAAAACTGCATTGTCAAGTCAAGTAAATTCAATGTTTACTTGCTACCCACAGCAATAAATAAAATGAGGCATTCGGAGTTACAACGGCACTGAAAAAAATGGCTTAGGGCCATTTTTCACATTTATGACCTAGGGTCATGTGATTTAAATTCAGATGTGTGGCAGCTGACTCCTATTTATGACGGTTGCTATAACCCAGGCTCACGTGATCCCCTCTTATGACCGTCCGATAAGCAAAGTCAATGGGAAAGCCAGATTCACTTAACAACTGGGTTACTAATGTAAGAACTGCGGCGATCCACTTAACGACGGTTGAGTGAAAAGTTGTAAAGAAAAGTTGTACCACGGGACAGAACTCTCTTAACAAATTTCTCGCTTAGCAACAGAAATTCTGGGCTCAACTGTGGTCGTAAGTCAAGGACTACCTGCATAGGTGGACGTGATATCAAGCAGATATAGAAGCATGATGTGTGAACCAGGCCAGTAAATGCACCGTTTGTTGGGTCAATTATTTGTGCAGCTGTTGTAATTTTTGCAACATTGTTTAGTGTTCCTTCTGATCTAAAGAAAGTTAATGATGGGTATTCAAACTGTCTATCTAATGCTGGAAATAAATTGAAATATGGAATATCAAGTGCTAGGAAGTGAATGATGGAGGCGAGATTTGCCAAGATTTGACTCTTTGTTTACGTCAAGGAATATATTAATATAACTTCGTGCTCTAGTATGTGTAGAGGAATGCAAAAAGGTTAGAACAAAATCCTTCCTTCTTTTGAGGCACTTACAGATTTTTTGGGGAGTTACTTCAAGATTAGATTTATGTGTAAAATGGAATAACCAATATTTTATAACTGCTTTTAATGTTTTGTCTAATGAAAAAAAAATGGCTAAGAAAGGAAGTCTGGAAAAATGGCACAATGGGATATGATTGATAGTACAGGTGGTCCTCGTGTTACGACCACAATCGATCCGAAAATTTATGTTTGCTAAGTGAAACATTTGTTAAGTGAGTTTTACTTGACCCATTGTATGGTTTTTCTTGCCACAGTGGTTAAGTGAATCACTGCATTTGTTAAGTTAGTCACATGGTTGTTAAGTGAAATCTGGCTTCCCCATTGACTTCGCTTGTCAGAAGGTCGCAAAAGAGGATCACGTGACCCCAGGACACTGCAACTGTCACAAATATGAGTCAGTTGTCAAGCCTCTGAATTTTGATCATGTAAAGGCAAGATAAAAATAGATAAAAATGATGTCACTGTTAAATAGGATAATATAAAGACTGTACCCAGATGAACAATGCAAACTTATCCATTTACTTTTTAATTTTGCAAGGGCTTGTTTTCAAATATATATTGCATCTTCTCTATATTCGTAGGGCCCATTTCCGGCTAATTGGTGCTGTTATTTACTTTTATACCATCAGATGGCAGCAGTTACTCATCCAATACATTGCAATTATATTTTGTTAGGTTAATTTTGTGATAGGAATGGGAAATTGATTTGGTTGCCATTTTAGTATAATGTTCACTTCCTGAACCAATACAATTATCCTTTTAAAAAATCACAGTAAGCAATTTTAGCTACAACAGTGGAGATATTGCAAGAAATCGAATGCATATTTTAAAAAATTAAGTGTGTATGAATCTTCCATTAAAATTATTAAAGTTTGCATAGAAAAACTGGGATGGAGTAAACATTTATTTGCCACAAAAAAAATTAGAGATGTTGAAGCATACTGTAGCTCTGTAAATGTTTGCACTTGTGTACAATACCAGGGACACGGTGGCTCAGTGGCTAAGACACTGAGTTTGTTGATCAGAAAGGTCGGCAGTTCGAATCCCTAGCGCTGGGTAATGGAGTGAGCTCCCGTTACTTGTCCGGGCTTCTGTCAACCTAGCAATTCGAAAGCACGAAAAAAATGCAAGTAGAAAGGACTAGCAGTAACACGATATCAGTGTTCCGATATCTCAGGAGTTGCCACAAAGAAGAGGGAGTCAAAATATTCTCCAAGGCACCTGAGGGTAGAACAAAAAGCAATGGATGAAAACTAATAAAGGAGAAAAGCAACTTGGAACTAGGAAGAAATTTCCCGACAATTAGAATTAATCAGTGGAACAACTTGCCTCCAGAAGTTATGAATGCTCCAACACTGGAAGTTTTAAAGAAGAGATTGGACAACCATTTGTCTGAAATGTTATAGGGTTTCCTGCCTGAGTAGGGGTTGGACTAGAAGACCTCCAAGGTCCCCTTGTAACTCCCATTATTCTGAATCCTTGCATTCTTTGACACTGGTGGATTTTACAGGAGCTACAGCCAGTGGTCTTCTTGAATCTATGGAACGGTGAGATAGGATGGACTGTGGATTCCCTACAATAATCATCTCCTGAGTACTATATGAAGTTTTCAGAATTGCTCTGGGCAATGCAACCGATTGGTTGTAGGTAGAAGGCAGGCAATGTGACAACTCTCATCATGAGGTCAGTGAGAGTACCATAATCATTAAAAAAAATATATCTGTGAGCCAGTGAAGGTTACTAACAGGGACTCTTTTGAAGCTCTGCTCCATCGTCAAGGAGTCATCCATATAGCTTTTTAGAATGTTCCCCTCCCAAGGTGCAAAGAAAGAATACGTTTGCTGTGAACTCCATGCGGTGTCAGGAAGGGCATCCATCCAGCAAGCGCACGGCTCCATCCATTCATCTCAACTCTACCTTGAATTAAGAGATCACAAGATCATAAAAAGGAAGTTATTCCCGCCATTGGAAGCTTGCTGTGGCAAATGTGCAGATACCCCGAGGACAAAATTCTTCGTCCCAGGCTTCACCTCAGACAGTATCTTGTTCCAGGGCTCCATTTTGTCCAGTTAAGTAGGCGCTGCCGCTATTTGAGGCCTAAAGACGTGAAGAAGATAGCCAAGAATCTGTCCCTTTATTTTTGTTCATCTTGGTTTGTTCAGTGTCGAACCTCAGTGGTCAGCGTTCCATCTGACAAACTCAGCATCTTTAACCCCTGAGCCATCATGCCTTCTGTTTTACAGTTAGCATTTTATTATTATTTAAACTTATTTGGTTACTGTTAGCCAGCCAGGATTTTTAGATGAAGTAGCCCATATACATTTTCTAAAAGAAAAAAATCTTTATGGTTTCCAATCCTAGCCCCCCCCCTCCCCGGAATTAATCTTCATTATTCTTCCATAACGATTGCAATCCTACACAGGGTGTGTGTTTGCGTGGCTCACTTCCCAGTGCAATTCCTGAGAAAGCATTAAAAAAAATCTTAAAATATGCATTTCTTTGAACTTTTGTTTACAGCTGCAGTTTTCTTGGTAAACATATTCCTTTGTGGGGAGGAGACTAGTTTTTCATGAAAATAAAAATAGCCAGATGCAATGGGACTTGTAGACATAACACACAGAAATAGCAAATTTATTGGAAAACCTTGGAACGATAAACTGATGTAGATGGCCATCTACAAGGAATGAGACTAGCCATCTGCCTATCCGTCACAAACTGGAATTTTCGGTGTTTTTTCCTCATATGGAAACTTGCAGTTCTTACACAAGTCTTTGGACGCGTGTTTTCATAATAGGAGCATTACTTAGGTCTTAGGAACTATCACAATCTGCATTCCCGAACTGCAAAGTTTCTCTTCCAGTGTCAGGCTAACCTAGAGGAGAATTTCAAATTCATCATTAAAAACCGGAGTGGAAGCACAAGAGAGAGCAATTTTAATTGTTCAATGCTTGGAAATTAATATTCGTTTCCAGGCGGTCAAAGAGCGATGGGATGTCAAAACGTTTATTGGGATCCGAAGCGTCTTAACAAACAGTGGATATCATTTATTCTATCATTTTTACAGGACTTTCTAACAATAAAGTCAGGTCGGCTTGCTCACATACAGTGTGGAGAACTATAAAACGGTGCAACTATTTATAGTTTAATCGTTTGGGGGGGGGAATTCTCCTCACTTGCTTTTTACTGAGTTTCTAAACATAATACACATCTTTAACAGTTCACGCTCTCTTCTTGTATATGTATAGGTAGGTATATGCTAACAGAATAACAGAGTTGGAAGGGACCTTGTAGGTCAACTAGTCCAACTGGACTGCCATCTCTCAGAAATGGTGTAGGGTCTCCAAGCAGAAGACCCTACACCATTTCTGAGAGATGGCAGTCCAGTCTTTTCTTGAAAGCTTCCAGTGATGAAGCTCCCACAACTTCTGAAGGCAACTTCTGTTCCGTTGGTTGATGGCTCTCATTGTCAGAAAATTTCTCATCTCTAGGTTGAATCTCTCCTTGATCAGTTTCCATCCATTATTCCTTGTCTGGCCTTCAGGTGCTTTGGAGAATAGCTTGATCCCCTCCTCTCTGTGGCAACTCCTCCAATATTGGAAGACTGCTATCATGTCTCCCCTGGTCCTTCTCTTCCCTAGACTAGCCATGCCCAGTTCCTGTACCCGTTCTTCATATGTTTTAGTCTCCAGGCCTTTGATCATCTTAGATAGATTCAGATTAACAGAGTTGGAAGGGACCTTGTAGGTTTCCAGTCCAACCCCCTGCTCAAGAAGAAGACCCTACATCTTTTCAGGCAAGGGGCTGTCCAGTCTCTTCTTAAAAATTTCCAGTTATGAAGCACTCAAAACTTCTGAATTTACTCTAGTTGATTGTCCTCACTGTTAGCAAGTTTCTCCATAATTCTAGATTGCTTCTCTCCTTGATTAGTTTCCACCCATTGTTTCTTTTCTGATGCTTTGGAACATAAGTTGACTCCCTCTTCTTTGTGGTGGCCCTTCAAATACCGGAATACTGTTATCATGTCATCCCTAGTTGTTCTGACCCAGAAGCAAGAAGCAAGACTTCTTGTCACGAAAAACCCCTCTGTAAAATGAGGCACCACGGACTTAACCGCGGTCTTGCTTAGCAACGTAATTTTGGGCTCAGTTGTGGTCGTACGCAGGGGTGGCCTTCAAAAATTGCAGCAATGGGTTCACTGCCCCGTTGATGGGGGGCGTGGCCATGATGGGTGTGGCCTAGGCGGCCTGCTACACCAGGCTTCAGAGGCTTTCCTTGAGCATCCGGGAGGGCGAAAACAGCTTCCACCAAGCTCTGGAGGCCCTCCGGAGGCTAGAAACAGCCCCGTTTCTGGACTTCCGGAACCTCCAGTAGGTCTCCCCCCCCCCTCGAGCCTTCATGTGAGCCCTGCACTTACTTTGCGTGATGAATGGGCTGCATAGAGACTCCTGGGAGGGGCAGGGTGGGGTGGGCGGAGCCAGCCAGGGGTGAAATTTGGGGGTTCACCAAAGTGGGTAGAATCCTAGGATCACCCGAATCCATGCGAACCCCCAGCAGCCCACCCCTGGTCATACCTCGAGGACTGCTTTGAAGCCTTAGCTCAGAGATGGCGAACCTTTTTTGGCTTGCATGCCATTGTGTGTGTGTGTGTGTGTGAGTGCACACCCATAATGCAATGCGCACAACAACAGCACACATGCGCACATGACCAGCAGTCCCCCTTCCATTTTGCTGTGCTTTTTTCACCCTCCCCAGACTCCAGAGGCTTTATAGGAGTCTGGGGAGGGTGAAAATGGCCTCCCCTACCCCCCCCGGAGGCCCTCCCTGGAGCCTCCAGAGCACAAAAAAACAGCCCCATCTGGGAACGGATTTCCGGTTTGCTGGTAGGGCCGGTTTTAGCCCTCCGAAGCCTTCAGGGGGCTTCAGGAGGCTTCCCCGAACGCTCCGGAGAGCAAAAAACGACCCTACGAGCAAACTGGAAGTTTGTCCGTAGGGGTGTTTTTCATCCTCTGGAGCCTTCAGGGAAGCCTCCTGAAGCCCCCTGAAGGCTTCGGAGGGCTAAAACTGGCCCTACCAGCAAACTGGAAGTACGCTCCTCAACTTCTGGTTTGCCCGTAGGGCCGGTTTTTTGCGCTCTGGAGGCTTCAAGAAAGACTCCGGAGGGCGAAAAATGGCCTCAAAAGAAGGCCAAAGTCGGCTGGCCAGTGTGCGCATACGTGCTGGCCAGCTGACAGGGCAACGCCTCGCGTGCCCTGACAAATGGTTCCGTGTGCCACCTGTGGCATGCGTGCCATAGGTTCCCCTTCACGGCCCTAGCCAATTGGGAACCTATTATGTGAAGAATAAGTCTCCTTGTTGTGAGATTAGCATTCGAGGCGTAACTTTGAGCTTTCCTGCTTTATTAGGCATGGAGTTAGCGACTTTCCCGTATTTGTCTTGGCGTATAACTGAACCCAGATTCCGCTGGCATTGTTTTGTCCACGAGGCTGTCCAATTTTAAAACCGCTTGCTTTGATTTTATCAGTACTTTTATTGCTCTCTTGGAATAAATAGAGTATTATGTCCCTTTGTGCTGTTCTGTTTTTGGATATGCTGCCTTGGGAAGAGGTTACCCTTTAAGAGAGCTCAGAAAGGTTTAAAGTACATGTTTCCCCCAAAATAAGATAGGGTCTTATTTTCTTTTGAATCCCAAATAAGCACTTGGCCTTATTTTTGGGGAGGTCTTATTTTTGAGGTGCAGGAGGCGGCGAGTGTGGTCACCTCATGGCTGCTGCTGTGTTGCAATATTTTCAGGGAGGGCTTATTTTAGTGCATGTGCTCAAAAGCCCAATTGGGCTTATTATCCAGGGAGGTCTTATTTTCAGGGAAACAGGGTAACTATGGCTTGAGATTTTGTCCGCCTTAGACAAAACAGCTGGATGTTCATATACCCACACAATCATTTAGTTGAGTCCTGTATGGGACCCAGTGTGTCAGTGGCTAAGACGCTGAGCATGTTGATCAGAAAGATTGGCAGTTTGGCGGTTCGAATCCCTAATGCTGCGTAATGGAATGAGCTCCCGCTACTGGTCCCAGCTTCAACCAACCTAGCAGTTCGAAAGCATGTAAAAAAATGCAAGTAGAAAAATAGGAACCACCTTTGGTAGGAAGGTAACAGTGTTCCATGCGCCTTCGATGTTTAATCATGCCGGCCACATGACCACGGAGACGTCTTCGGACAGCGCTGGCTCTTTGGCTTTGAAACAGAGATGAACACCGCCCCCTAGAGTCGGAACGACTAGCACATATGTGCCAGGGGAACATTTACCTTTTAAGTTGTATTTAACCCAGTGGTGGGTTGCAAATATTTCTACTACTGGTTTGGGCTCACTCCCGTGCACACTTGCCCGCGTGCATGCGCAGAAGCATGCGGGCAGGTGGGTGGGGCCTCCTGCCGCTGCTACTACTGGTTCGGCAGCCCAACACTGATTTAACCTCATTGTGCCAAATACAATTAGTTACGTTTTAGAGTTATTTTCCCTCCTGGCCAGCAGGATATTTACTTACTGGGTTTTTACAGTATTGGATTGCACAATGTTCATTTTGGTTCCATTCTTATAAATGTTACCGTAATTCATTTACAATTTTTGTGCGGTTCTAGCTCCTCTGTTTGGACTCTTGACATCCAGCAATACTAGTAACTCCAGAAGTCCCCCAAAACAAGAATCAAGGCAGAAGATAGCGTGCCAAATACAATACAATACAATAGCAGAGTTGGAAGGGACCTTGGAGGTCTTCTAGTCCAACCCCCTGCCTAGGCAGGAAACCCTATACCATTTCAG